ATCGACAGCGCGAAGTTGATGTATTTCCTCAGCGACCAGCACGGATCAGCTCTAGGCATGACAAAGCGGATATCGTCCTCTTTTGGAAGACCAAACAAAGTAGTTTCGCTTTCACAACGAAGCACACAGCGCCTTCAGGACATGGCGGCGGCAGCAACAATACTACAGCGAGAATAAAAGTTACGCCTTCTTTCTTTGCGTGAACATTTGGGCGGCGTTATGCAAATCTTCCCACATAGTGAGGTAGACATGTGGGGGCGTGTTAGAACGAGCCGTTTTAGGTAGGCGTGGTTGACTCTTAACTTTTATAAAAAATATCTCTTTGGATTTGAGACTTTAGTCTTTGCAACTTTACAGATCTTCTTTATGCACCAAGAGCTCGCAACACTTCAAAGAGAAAGGAAAAATTGAAATCGCATCATATGACCCCTTTAAAGTGACTAGTGAGGAGTGTATATCAGCTAAAGGCACATGCTGTGATACGCTAAAGCTAACGGTGTTAAACAGGAAGTTGAAGTGATGTGGGCTCGGCTCAGGTGGCTGGACTGATGTTAATAGGCAGTGCAAATTCATCTGTCATGGTGAAAACGGTCGGTCATTCATTCGTCTCTCTCCGGCGGTGATCTGTCCCTCTGTCTGCGCTGGGCTAAAAACTGCTGGACCACAGATGGCCAATCCACAACGTTCTCCACGCGCACCTGTCCTCCAGACATGGACATCGCAATCTGACCGCCTGCACAGTAACACAACGCGATTGCTTGAGATTGACACATGACAAATCCTATTATTTCTTGCGTTTGCTTAAAAGAAAATACATTTAATTACTGTACACAGGAATTACTGCTGTAGAAATAAAATTAAGAAATTGTTTTTTCCAAGTACGTAATTATAAATATATAATATTGCTAAATATTAATTACACATTAAATTATGAATCGATGAATTACAATATATAATATAATCCCATGTATTTATTTATTTATTCATTCATTCATTCAATAAAGCAAAGGCTATTTTCATGGCAAACTCATAGTGGTAGAAATTAAAATAATCATACAATCAACAATAAAACTTAAATAAATAAAATATAATGGAAAAAGTCAACAATATTGTTCTTACAACAGTATAAAAAACAATATAACATAAAAAATATAAAATAAAAAAATAACAATTATATACACTGAAAAAAATTGGTGTAGAAACAATATTTAACTCAGAAATTGCTAGTAAATTTCACAATTAATTAAGCTGACAGACGCATGAGCCAGCAGCTCTAGAGAACGCGAGTCTGTCAAACCTTCAGTGTCTTCATCCTCATTCTTCACATTATGACACTCCACAGAGCAGATCAGACCCTGAAGACCCACACAGGCATGGGAAAGTCACTCAACGCTGCACATACACACATAATATGGCAATAGAGTCAGGAACGCACTCTATAGAAAGCTCGGCGGTGCGTTTGAAGATGTACAGGAAGTGTAAGATGCACAAACACAAATGTCTGAACGATCTGTGAAACCTTCCTTGGTCAGCAAATGCCTATATTAGTGTGCTGCAGCTAAAGTTAAACTTTTGTTTGCCGCATAAAGCATCACTTTTGTCAAACCTCGCATTTTAAGATGGCACCATTATAAACTAATATGATAAAAACACTGTTCAATAAATAAGTCAATTTATTATTATCGATAATCACAATAAACAATTCTTTGACAAGGTACTATAACAAACTGCATAACTGAATTGTCTTATTTGCAACTTTAGAAGACAGTTATTTTAAGTTGCACACTGTGCATTAGAAATATATGAAAGTTTGTCTCCACCACAGGATGAAAATATGGGATATCCATCAGACCCTGAACACAACGGAGGACACAGGCATGGGAAAGTCACTCAACACTGCACATACACACATAATATGGCAATAGAGTCAGGAACGCACTCTATAGAAAGCTCGGCGGAGCGTTTGAAGATGTACAGGAAGTGTAAGATGCACAAACACAAATGTCTGAACGATCTGTGAAACCTTCCTTGGTCAGCAAATGCCTATATTAGTGTGCTGCAGCTAAAGTTAAACTTTTGTTTGCAGCATAAAGCATCACTTTTGTCAAACCTCACATTTTAAGATGGCACCATTATAAACTAATATGATAAAAACACTGTTCAATAAATAAGTCAATTTATTATTATCGATAATCACAATAAACAATTCTTTGACAAGGTACTATAACAAACTGCATAACTGAATTGTCTTATTTGCAACTTTAGAAGACTGTTATTTTAAGTTGCACACTGTGCATTAGAAATATATGAAAGTTTGTCTCCACCACAGGATGAAAATATGGGATATCTCACAATTCTTAAAGGAAAAATTCAGAAATGTGAAACAAACTCAGAATTGTGAGATATACTGTAAAACCGCAATTGCGAGAAATAAAGTAAGAATTACCTTTTTTCATTTTTTATTGCATGGCAGAAAAAAAACTGAATTGTGAGATGTAAACTCAGAATTCCAAGAGAAAAGTCAAAACTGCAAGAGGTAAATTTAGAATTCCAGTTGAAATTGTGAGATATAAATATAGAATTATGAGAAAAAAACATTAGAATTGTGAGATGTAAACTTAGAATTCAGACAAAAAGATGAAATTGTGAGATATAAATATAGAATTATGAGAAAAAAACATTAGAATTGTGAGATGTAAACTCAGAATTCCAAGAGAAAAGTCAAAACTGCAAGAGGTAAATTTAGAATTCCAGTTGAAATTGTGAGATATAAATATAGAATTATGAGAAAAAAACATTAGAATTGTGATATATAAACGTAGAATTCGGAGGAAAAAAGTCAAAATTGTGAGATGCAAATTTAGAATTCTGAGAAAAAGAAAACATTAGAACTGTGAAATGTAAACTCAAAATTCTGAGGAAAAAAGTCAGAATTGTGAGATATAAACTCGCAGTTACAAGTTTATAGCTTGCAAATGGTAAATATAGAATTCTGAGGAAAAAAGTCAAAATTGTGATATATAAACGTAGAATTCGGAGGAAAAAAGTCAAAATTGTGAGATGCAAATTTAGAATTCTGAGAAAAAGAAAACATTAGAATTGTGAAATGTAAACTCAAAATTCTGAGGAAAAAAGTCAGAATTGTGAGATATAAACTCGCAGTTACAAGTTTATAGCTTGCAAATGCAAGATTTGCAAGGAAAAAAGAATTGCGACTTTATTTTTTATTCTTTGCCGAACACAAGCTTCCCCAGTAACATGCAAATGATCTCTAATGAAAAGCAACTCCTACCTGCACGTCTGCAGAGAACCTTGATGGAGTAGAACAGGTTGGTGAACAGGTTGAACGGAGACGGAATTCCAGACTTGCGGCTCATATCGTGGATCAGAACGGCGCGGCCAAACTTCCACTCCGTGTCGGACTGAGCCTGGATGCGCTGGTATGTGTCGCTCATCATGGCGATGAGGAGGTTGATCAACATGATGGACGTCACCACCAGATACACACCAAATACCATTTTAGCCAAAACAGCCGTGGCAGCAGGCGAATGCTCCACTTCGGGAATTTTATCCGGTTCGGTTAAACCAAACAAAGCGAAGAAGAGCAGCACAGACATGTTTAAAGGACCCGGAATGGTCACTTGCGTGGCGTTACCGGTGCTGTTGTCCCAATCTTGTGGATACAGCGGCTGACACAAAGCGGTGAGACTCAGCGTGAAGGCAGTGTGGAACAACATGAGGATCACAGCGAACCAAGACAGATCCTTCATCAAGTCTCGGATGATTACGGCCCACGGGCCGAATAAGTGATGGAACGTGAGGAACTCCAGTAGTTGGATGAATCCCAGTGTCATCGCCATGGCCAGCAGGACGTTCCGGGCGAACAGGCAGTGCAGGTGCGCCGGTGGCCACCATTGGGTGAAAACCGCGAGCAGGTGGCACAGCAGAGCCACGGCGGAAAAACCCAGGAGAAGAAGACGAATCCACGCTAAACCAGCACGCTCACCTGGGATGGTCAGCTCGGACACCAGCATCCCACAGAGCCAGATCAGCAACAGACACTCCGACCAGCCGGGCACCAGACGGCCCTCAGACAGAGGACTCATGGGCGGATACACAATCGTCAGGATGAACAGGGCCAACAGGAAGATGTGCGACACCAGGTGACTCATGAACTTCTCGATTGGGATAGTGTTGAAGCTGAGTGGAGATTAAAACAATCAGTTACACACATTTCTCCTCAACCGAGACACACTGGCAGTAAAAAGTTTGGATACATGTGACTGAATTTATGTTTCTTAAAACCTTTTTGATCTAAAGGCCAGTGTTGCTGTTGTTTACTTAAATTAAAACGATTAGAATTGTTTTTGTTAATTGAAATAAAGAAATAATAAAATAAAACGCAAATATTAGATTAAAAACAAACTTAAAATAAAATTTGAAATGTTGCCATGGAAACTAATTGAAAAAAAAAGAAAACGCATCACTTCACTTCAGAAGGCCTTTATTAACCCCCTGGAGCCGTGTGGAGTACTATTTTTTGGCTTCAAAATCTCAACACCCATTCACTGCCATTATAAAGCTTGGAAGAGCCAGGACATTTTTTAATATAACTCGGATTGTATTTGTCTGAAAGAAGAAAGTCATATACACCTAGGATGGCTTGAGGGTGAGAAAATCATGGGGTAATTTTCATTTTCATTGTTTTCATAATTTTTATCCCTCTAAAGCTGTAAATGTTCCTGTGAGTCTCATCTGCTCATTAAGAATGAAACAAAAGAATTAAAGACAAAGTCTGTATATTTTAAATATTATTTTAATGGCATCTTTTAACTAAGTACTATGAATGAAGGCAAGTATTACAGATTTTTTTAAATTTATTTTTTTATCAATTTCGGAAGATAAAATTGTAGTCATTCGTTATTACAGTCAAATTTGTGCCATCATTTAAGCCTAAACTTACAGAACATTAAAAAAATATATAATAACTTTTAATTTAGGTGAACTTAAAACAATCCTCACATAAACCAATTTTAATAAATGTGTTTTAATACAGTGTGTTGTATATGATGTATAGTAATGTAGTGACGTTTCAGTCTCCATCAGTATCAGCTCTCTGTCTGAATGAGAGCCATCTGTTCATTTTGTTCAAGTTTTTAATTGCATTAATTTTCATAACAAATAAAACAACTGGTAGTTAGAACATTTGGAATAAACAAACAAATAAACACACACACACACACACGCAGAATGAACAGCATATCAGTGAGTCTGACCTTCTTGTCAGGAGTGTGTTCTTCTCTCGTCTGAGCAGGAAGATGACAGTTTTCTCGTGGTTCTCCTGAGCGGCGTACTGCAGCGGCGTCCGTCCGGCATGACATTCGACACACGTCAATGCTCCACTCTCCACCAGGAACGACACCACCTCCAGACAGCCGGCTTTAGCC